CGTTTTCTCAGAAATATTTCCGTCCCATTAACAAACGTTTCATCGGCCCATACATCATTTAAAGTTCCTTTGCACTCGGTCAAACCCTCATACGACGCATTTTCACCGGGTCTCTTTGAACAGCGCCCGTTTTGTGTTAGGTCTTTAAACCACTTTGTCCCCGTTACGACTATAGGGGTCGTTTCTGTAATGCTGGTTCCCATATACACCTCGTCTTTATCCGTACAATTTTTTTTTTATCTCACAAAACTTCTTCAATCGCGGTAAACATTCCTTCTCTTGAAACTCACTGCACCACCGTCATTGACGTTCGTAAGTCACATCGAATTTTTCCCACGTACGCACATCCCCGGGACACAGGAATCGTCGTCGCATTTCGAATCGTAACAAGTACACAGACTCTCTCCCTGTGCAGAATCGGGACCGGTAATTCCCCTGGAGGAAGTTCCGTTCAAGTCAAATACAGTGTTACGCGGCAACTAAATAGACGGCGACGTTATCAAATAGCGACAACTACGCGTGGCTTTCGTGTGCACATGTAGGTGCTCATTAGTAGATGGACTTTACCCATCTATATAGAGTTACGTTTCGAGATCGTCCACTCTCCCCGTTTGGGCAAAATTTATTTCGATATCTGGTCGCACAAGGTATTCGTTGCACGTCGTGATTTATGGTGGTTGCCGCGTGTGCACGAATCGAAACACGTCCATCGGATCGACAGATTCAAAACGGCATCCAAGGGACTTAACGTACACCGTACGCCTTCGCGAGAGTCCTTTAGAGAGACGGTAGTAGACCGAAAGAGATCGTTAACGTTTTAGCAGCGTGCATCGTCCTCGTCCCATAAATTCCCTGGGCCTCAAGGATGCGAGTCACTGGCGGCACAGCAGCCTGGCCAACACGAGGGTCGTTCGAAGAATAACAGTTGACACGAATAGTTGCGACTATACGCGCGTACGCTGCAGGCCTTTTGCCGTGGGCATTATGCAACGCGGTGTTACGTCATTCTTACGGTGTTTCTTGCGCACAGCGCGCACGATCGTGAAAATCGTGAGCGACCGAAGAATACACACGTATATATGTACAGACACAGGTGTACGCCGAATGTTGTCCCGTCGCGTTACGATCACGGTTTACCTTGGAGCGCACGCTGGGCGCTTGAAACTCGCATTGCGAGACGAGACGAAATTTAGCACGGGATAATTGCATCCTGAATAGATCCTGTGAAGATTCCGGGAATTGATCTTGCTTTTATCAAAACCGATTGGCGTTCATTTGCCAAAATAATATCAAATGTTATGACACGGTAATGTAAAACACACAGATGTACACACAAATGTAAAACACACGGTATACGCTTCTCTGAGAAATTATAAAACCATATTTTGAAATTGTCATTGATATTTCAACGATTTTACTCGAATATATATTTTAACTTTTACTATTCGCTCGGATATCATTTCGAATACCATACAGAGATATTAAATAAAACGCAGAACTGGGTTGAACAATTTTTCCGGTCGCTAAGAGGATAACGGAGCTGAGGAAGATACAGAATTTCAGGACATCCTCGGATATTGCACCCTGGTGACAGCAGACGGTCGAAGGAGGGTTAACGATCGGGTCATCGTACTCCAAGATGACCTTCCGAGCAGCAGCCGCAGCAGCTCGGACCCGCTGACCGAAAATACTCGTAACGAGCGAACGCGGCTATATACGGGACGCTGACAAAACGACGGTAAAGGGGTTAACAGTTGTTACGAGGGAATCCGTGTAAGATATTATCGGAAATAGACGATGGGCGGAGAACGGCCCCCGGAGATCTCGTGTACGCGATACGGTTATGTTTTTTCTCCGCTGTTCCGACGTTTTCCCGTGCCAAGAGTGGGTGAAAGGAAATGGCGGCTGTCGAACGAAAACGTTAAATTCATCAACACGCGTCCCCGGCGCATCGTATCGCGATGGAATTCCGCGGGGTGTGCGCATCCACACGCCCATACAGACGCACGAAAATAGGAAGAACAACCGCCGGGGTGGAGAAGGGGAGAGAGAAGAATGGATTAACGAGGGCGAGAGAACGGCGGCGGAGTGCTCGTTTCGTACGGTTGTATTCACCGTACAACTATTTTCCAGACTAACAAACGTTCTGTCGGTTCGCTAGCCCCGGCTAACGGGCGAAAATCGACGATCCTATGTATCTCGGTACAAGAAAGCTTTCGAGGGCTGGGCTTGGATCCAACAACAACCGCCATATTTATGGTGCCGGGCATCTTAACCCACTGAGGGAGCCGAATGTATCCCGGGAAACCGGAATCAAAGTCGGGAGAGGTTACGAGAGGTCAGGTCCGGGGGATGCGCCGTTGGAAATTCATCAGGAACGTATTAGCGGCATTTGTAAGTCGAGACGATTATTTTTCAGAGATCGACCGATATTGATGCACTTCGAAAGCACCTCTGCCTTCATTTTATCGTTCCGATATTTCGCTTGCCATGTTAACGTCCGATCTCGCTGAGAACGCATCGATCGCAAGGAATACTTTCGTAGGTTCGAGTACTGGACATGCAAATTCGTTATTCTTGTTGGAAGGTCGAAAAGTGTTTCGCTGTGAGAAGTGAAGTTAACCGAATAAAAAATTCGAGCGTTTCGAATCCGACAGTTAAGTTCCCTGCGCTGCACAGCGATAGCTCGACCAACGATAGCTCGAACGGAAACGAAGTACATACAGTCTTGATAACTGGAGCCGGTCTTCAAATTCCATTCGCCATAAATGCAGCTTACGTATCTAATCTGGCGTTCTGGCGTGCTGTACCAACGTATATACAAAACAGCTTTTAACGGACACACTGAATCCATGAATCACGTACTCCGCGACACAAGGCGTTCATCACCTTGACTCACGGACCGATTATTCATTTGTAAATAACTATTTGCTCGACGTCGCGTCCAATGCTGAACAAAACGAGCGAATTATGGCGAATCGGATTTCCGAAGCAATCGCGGTATTCAATGTTTACTGATTCAGGCACATGAGAACGAAACAATCTTTGTCTCGTTTGGTGGCCCGACAGGTATAAAATGTTCCATGACAAGTGGCACCTCATCGCAGGCTTGTGATAAAGAAGTATGAAATGCACTTCATATTAACGAATTCTATATGAACTAGACTGTCGCTTAAAAATTGGGAACATCCTGTATTTACTGACAAAATAACGTTCCATGCCAGCGAGTACCAGTGTGCAATTTCTTTTCAAGAAATCTATTCAAGTTACTATTTTTGTGATTATTACATATGCATTTTAACGGATTCGAAACTGTTCTCCATCTATGGTCGCATAGCAAAAATGTAAATTTCTTAAGGAAAGTAATTTACATACCGGCATTCACTATTACTCAGCGCAACCAGGATTCTTCCGAGGAATCACCGCGAGCGTAATAATCCTTATTTCGATCAAGAATACGTCGAAAGGAGAATGGCACGCGAGACGGAGAATCGTTCGGGGACTGTATAGGAAAAGCGTAGGGGAAACGGCGTCGCGACGCCACCGAGCGGTGCTGCCACGACGCGAAACGGTCGCCGGCCGCGGTACGCGTCGCCGGCAGCGAGCGCGCGCTCGGTCCTTCTCGGCGGCGTTCGGGCCTCCTCGCGCACAGTTATGGCAAGGGAACGTCAGTCACTCTTCGGCGCTCGCGCGGAAGAGTCTGTACGCATTAACCGTCGGGGATATCGTCGCTCCCTGCGGAGTGTTAAATATCTCGTAGGTGTTTCTTCGTGGTCGAGATACCCAGCGACGTATAATCTGTCTCTGGATCGTGGTGACCGGCACGATCGAAACAGGTGACGCGGACGCCGCGTATGGAAGTGTCGCGGGAAAAAAGCCGGTAGTTGACGGCCGAGCCGCGTGTGTTTCTCGTCAGTGTGTATGTACACGAGTTTCTCGGAGAGGGAACGGACGCGAGGTGGATTTGAAGCGTTTGGTCGGATCCCCTGTGGTGATACACCTATCCTAGTGGAGCTTGAAGTAACGGATTGAAGATAGTTCTTCGAGAAATCGAAGAAAAACAGATCGAGTTAAATCGAGAAAGAAGACGAAGGGAAGAGAGAGAGAAGGATAAGCGAGAAGTCGAATGAATCGAACAGATAACGGGTCGCGACGACTCCGGCCGGCGTTTTGACGTTTCGTGTTCCGTGGCTACGAGGTTTCTCGGTTGTCACCGTTCCACGTATGATGGATACTGTCGCGCGTGTCTCGTGTACGCGACGCTATCAAGAACAGACAGAGCGTCGAGTCGCGCAACCAACAACGTCGTTCCAGTGAGTTTCTCTGTCTCCTCCTCCCCCTCCCCGTTGGTCGGTATCGTGTTCGTGCAGTGCCGCGTGCTTTTCCAACGATTGTACTAGCGCCGGGCTGGCAGCAACAGTAGAACGCCGGTAGCGCTGCAACGAGCTAGAGAAAGAAAGAGTGATTGGTCTCACGGTTTGAACCAACGGTGTTTGGTGGTGTCTGTGCGCGCGCGGAAAAAGGAAGCGGTTAGCCGGCTCGTCCCTCTCTCGTTCTCTTCGTGCACATCAGAGAGCTACCCGTGTGGATCGTAGGCTCCTCTCTCTCTCTGTCTCTATCTTTGTTGGTCATCCTGCCCACGGTGACGTCGTCGTCGTGACCGTGTCGGTGTTTCTTCGATGATAAGCACGTGTGCGTGCTACTACCTGCTGCGTGTACGTGCGTGCGTTAAAGCCGCGAGCCGCGTATCGGCGTGCAGTTAGTGACCGCGTTGCGTTACCATCTAAGTCCTCCTTGTGTAACTGCTACCATCGCGGTACGGTTTTATTTGGTTTGTTCCTCGTCCGGTTGCGTTCGACATCGTTTCAGTTATCGTTTTTCGTTCGAATTCTCTCTGTGCCGAGTTCAATCAGTTACGAACGGATCAACGGAGTAACCATGGATATCCTGCCGAGTGGGAACATATTTAGGGAGTTGCAGGACATACACGACACCGGATACTTTTCGGCCCAGCCATCGCTCGAGGATCATTGGCAACAGGTAAGAATATATTTTTCATTTACTTTCGGCCAAGTTTTGCGAGCGTACGTCAAGCAATTTTGCCTCCCTTTCGCGCTGAAACACGACGGGACGTCAAGCCGAAAAGGAAGCATCTCGCGTTACGAGTGTTACGACACGCTAACCGGCGTTCGGAACGTCGACCGTGAATTTCGAACGCGAAAAGCCGTCCCGCCGTAACCTCGACCACCATATTTGAATTTCTAACGGTCAGCGTAGTAATCTATGTCGGTGTACGATATCGAGTTCAATAGCGTGAAGGAATGAAATTATTTCTACGAATTCCATTAGAGCGTATAACGCTTAAACTTTAACTCACCGATTGCTGGGATTTAATTACTTCATCTTTCGGAGCGAAACACTTACTCATAATTGTTTTTTTAATGCTTTCTATACAATTAAAGAAATAACAGGCAACAATCTAAATGAAAATATGTAATTTCACATTGCGTGTGTTAATAAGATGTTTTGCGATGGATATTGATCCTCCGATATAATGTTTGAAGGAATATATTTTAATTTGATCGTGGTTTTCGTCTCGATTTTTCGGTCGAGCTCTATTTAAATCGATTACCGATATGCAGCTGGCCATTATAACTGGACGACCTTGAGCCAAGGTATTAGATCGGTGTGTACGTTCAGTGACGCGGCCGAGCGTACTATAGACGGCGCGTCCTGTTTGTTTACGAGTGTGCAATGACCTTCCAGTGGTCGGGGAAGGCAGGAGGGACGTACTTGTTCCCCATTCAATATCTCAGCCGGAGTACAACAGTTTCCTCGCTTCGTTAAAATGGCATGAGTGACGTCACTGGTTGCACCGTGTGCCCGCGTGACGTTTCGCCTTAACGGTTTATTATCACGATTGCGAGCTCTCAAATAAATTTGCATCTTTTTTATCTCTTTAATTATATCTCCACGAGTCGTAGCAATTTCATTCATTTTGATTATGTCATCAAAGTATACATACTGGTTGCTGCAAAACATTGTAACGTGGTTCATTTAGTGAAAATGAATTAATTATCAAATTCCATTTAGTTTCACTCATTTTTATAGTCTCGTAAGAACGTATTCTGACTATTAAAAAAATATTTGTTTCTACAATATAGTTCTAGGTTGAGAGATTTAATTGCACAAGTTAGTGGCGCGATACTGTTTACTTCTTCCGTTACAACTATGTTGATATTGTTTTTTGCCTGAGATAATCCATTTCAAACTTTTTGTAAGGTATTTTCTTTTGATAAGTCGTGTATAAGACGAGTTAAGTACTGTAAACGTAAGAATACCAAAACATACATTGCTCATTCGTGTCAACATAGTAAATTGTTATCAGACACGAAGAAAAATCTATGAGTTGCTAGAAAACTTCTGAAAAATCGCTTTCGTACTGACGTCAATCAGTACATACAGGTACCATTGACCATTATTGATAAGTTACCGATAACTGATAAGTTTCGATTTATATAACATCTTCCAGATAATGGATAGTGCAAGCAGATAGAAACTGAAGTATAATACGGTACACAATAGATTTTTAAAATAGTCTTGCGTGGTACTTTAGTTTCAATTCCTTTGATTCATATTGTTTGAATCCCGGCATGGAAACGTGTACTTCCAATTATCCAACATATTCTTTCTAATCCATCAAAATTTTCCAAGTATTTATTAAATATTAAATGATATCACAAATTGCTTATATCCTTCCAGAAACACTCAGTATTTTTCACGTTAATACCAGACATTCAAGTTTCCGATATTTATCCTTCGCATCATTAGCCACGCTAATTGTAATGTAGAAGTTCATAAACTACTTCGACGGTTGAGGCGATCGACAACTAATACACTCGCAAGGTCAGAAAGCTAATTACGAAGACATTTAGAATCAGTCGAGAAAGCGTCGAGCGTTTCTTTCAATCCGCTCTTTCCTATATCGTGGTTTATCGAGTGTTTATGTTATGCCATTCAATTATCGTCGGTTTAATTACCGATAGCGTATCTGATCGTTAGCCCGCTGGGGGAAAATTTATGGCGAGGAAATCTCGGTTTGTCGCTTGGCACTCGACATTTGACCTGCGCAACATTGTTAGCCCTGGGTTTAGTTTGGCGCGGTGCCTAATTGAACGTCTCGAAGGGTTTCCAGTGGAAAACCGCCCGGCACTTTACCCGCTTTCTCCTCTTTCTCGTTAATTACCCGTACGATCGGCTTGTTTTTATTATCGGCCAAGAAATACATCACGCTCCCGGCTCCCCTCCAGCCGGATGTCGTACTTTTTCAATGATCGCTCGACTCTCGCTTCTGTTGCCATCGATTACAATCTTTCTGATTGCGTCCATTTACCATGCTGGCCTCTTTAGTCGTGACTTCGACGCTTCAACAGTGTTCGATAGCATTAACCAATATGTTGATAGAAGTGTACGTGTACTTCTACATTGAGTACTTACTCCTTCATTTATCTTATTAATCAATTCAAAGGTCGAATTCTTATACAGAAGTACTGGGTCTTTAAATTTTCGATAACTTGAATGACCTGTCCACGGTGTTACAATGGAATTGTCACCAACCTTTAAATAACTTTTATGCAAATCACTCACTTATCATGTAAGTAGGTAATCTTGCAAGTCTAGAAGATTCTCTACATACAATTACGTTGGGATTAACTCCACTTTTTTTTCTAAATTCTTATAAGATATCAGTCTTTAACTTCATCGTTTAACATTCATCGGTATTTTTAACTCTGATATAACAATGCCAGTCTTCCAGTATTTGTGTTATCCACAACAAATGGTAATTACAAAATGAATAAATTTAACAGTTCCTAAGATAGCCTGTGCACATCAAAGTCTTCGATAAAGTGGCAACAACTGAAATAATATGGTGTTTTCCCGACCATTTTGGCGATCATTCCGTAAGTAACACGATGATGTACATCGACAGCGTCATCCGATAGGCGAACAGATGGCTGGGTCACATCGACAACACGACAGCGTTGCTCGCGTGACCGATAATGCGATTCGACAGGTGCTCCCCTGTATATTCTTGTATTCTGAACTTTACACGATCCCGTTTCGCCGGTAATTATCGTCGTTGGCGACGAAACGAGCGTTTGATGCGCCGCACCGTCGAAACCTATGTAACTCGGACGATTTTCGGCGCGTACGTTGACAGAGGAATTTCGTTCGAAAAGCCTTACGGATTGAACGCAAAACTAACCTTCAATTTCGAACAGACTCACGATTAATGTGACACAACATATTCGTTGCATCCAGAGATCAGAATGGCTCCAAATTATCGATGTAGTTATCTCCAAACCGCATACATTTCCGGTGTCTTCGTGCAAGTCGCAGTACTTTTCCAATAAGAAGTTAAATGTTAATCGAAACACGACATCGATCTATCTGTTATGTTCCAATTCTATTAATAGCTTTCGATTCTTAGAAGACTGGCGACTGTTGGGGATAATTACAATAATTACAGAGACCACAGAAGAACGCGCGTCAGGAAAGAACCGCGCGATGAAAATAACGAATGTAAGACGCCGGGCGACCTTGCTGAAGTTTCCTTTCATCTAACACCTGATGCAATTACTGAAATACGTCCCACGTATCGACACGCGATGAATTATGCATTTCCTGATACGTTAAGCGGATTCGCCAGCAGCCCTGCAATATGCGAGTTACCGCGCGCGTATACGATCGGGCCAATTCAATCCCCTCCCCCCATCCTGACGCTTCTTGCGAATCGTCGAGCATGGAAATACTTTCTCGTAAATAACTCACCACGTTGAATAATTGACTGACCCGCGGCCAGTGTCCATCCTGGGTATAAATATTTTCGCGGCATTGTTTTCGGCCGGTCGATTAACTCGCGATATACTGACGGTATATCGACTACGGCAGCTCAATCGCGGACAAATATTTTCATATCGATTATAAAGTATACGTGTATATGTATCCTGGATTGAATCTTTCATCGTTTCGATTACGCGGATTTTTCATGAATCTATAGTTTCTCGAATTACTAAACTTTTCGTTCCGCCGTCATCGCTGTTCTGAAATCTTTATTTATTTCATTAGAAATTAGTTACGGTTAAGCAGATATTAGCTGACGAATTTAGACAAACAAAAGTCGTTTGTAATATAGTAATGGCAATACGACAATACGTCTATTTTGATGATGAAAAAGAAATCCAATCTTTGTTGTACTCCAAAGCAGATCGCTCTTGGACTTGACAGCACGATTTTTTCCAGTCCACTGATTACATTCGTGGAGAGTTAACAAAAAATATGCATTACAATTTTCAATGACAAGTGGATTAGCCATGGACCTTTCACCATCCATTCCGTTCACTTTTTCTTAACCTTCTTCAATTGAACCCCTTAAACAGGGAAATAATTGTCGCACAACCTTCTGTAGAATATTTGACTTAAAAAGCTAGCCTAAGATGCCAATTTTTAAATTTAATTAAAACCAAAAAAGTTCCTTACAATATTATTCAACTGAAGTAACACAATGGCCACTTTTGTGACATCAAACTGTACACGAGCGACTTCCTTCTCCATACTTAAGGCATTAATATTTCGTCTCGACTTGTAACGCCCAAGGACCACCGTGGACCACCTTTCGCGACGCCCGTTTATTCGCATTGTCGCGACACTCGACAGCCCCACACAGTGCTCTTCAGCATTTCTCACCGGTGGTTTGTTTACCGATCTGTACACAAAATCACCGAGTTTTTAACGATGTTGTGTCGCGCAGACTACCCTGTTTTACGAGCATGCGTGAAACTCGCGTAAAAGCTTCAATGATCCTCCGACGACAAGAACCCGTCCCCGGGCTGTGTACTACCGATGCGAAACTTTTCCTGCGCATGAATTATACCCGCTCATGACAGTCGCAGGCGGCATCGGGTGATATTTTTGTTTTCTCCTTATACACGAGTTGGCGCTTCCACTTCACGTCCCGTATTACGACACACTCAGCCCGT